TTTCTAAGCCCTAAACCTTAACTCCCAGACCCTAAAAGCCTAAACCCTAAACCCTAAACCCTAAACCCTAAACCCTAAACCCTAAACCCTAAACCCGGGGTTTATACGGTTTAGGGCTTCAGCTTCAGTTTAGGGGTTTGGGGGTTTAGGGCTTAGGGTTCAGGGTTTAGGGTTCCGGGTTCAGGGTTTAGGGTTCAGGGTTTAGGGTTTAGGATTTAGGGGTTTGGGGGTTAGGGTTTAGGGCCTTCGAGTTTAGGGTTTTGGGTTTCGGGGTTAGGGTTCAAGGCCTTTCAGTTTAGGGTCTAGGGTTTCAGGTCTAAGGCCACGGTTTGGGGTCTAGGCACGTCGAGTCATAGTCGGTGCTATCCGACGGGACGTGGTCCAAGAAGTTGTTGTAGACCTCAGCAACGAGCAGGGTTTACGTGCAGACCCAAACATGCAAAAAGTAGTAGGTAGCGACAGCATACTGCAAAGGCTGAACCAACCAAGCGGCTTAGCCCGAGGCCCGGAGCCCAAATAGTCCTTGTAAAATCCCAACGAGAATACAAACGGGGTTTAGGGCTCAGGGTCAGGGGTTTAGGGTTTAGGGGTAAGGGTAATCCCTGAATAATCGCGCTGTAGTCCCAGACAAAGCCCGCTCAATATCTGCGATAGCTTCCCACCTAAGCGCTGGAAGAACCTTTTCTGTGTAATCTCTTCGATGGTCAGGATCCCATAGTCAGTGAGTCGATAAGTAACCAAAGATAGCCATCGCAATCCGAAGTCTAGATAGAGTGCCCGGGTCATTCAGGGGTGTCTATATGTGCCAGGAAGCCTACACACCTAAATCCAAATCTTCGATCCCCCAAACTCTGCGGATGATTGGTTTAGGGTTTAGGGTTTAGGGTTTAGGGTTTGGGGTTTGAGGTGTACTCAGAGGTTGAATCCTTTCCCCAGCCCAAAACCTTGCAACCACTGTAGGATCTATGAGCCGAGAAAGGTTACCTACTAAGCCCCTGAAATGATGCAAGCGGCCTTGACATGTGGGCAGTTCTCTAAATTAGGGTCCCTTTTAGGGTCCTCTGCAGAGGGGTGCCGTACTACATTGGGGACCTAAAAAGGGGCCCGAATTTAGAGAACTACCCATATGAGTGAAGGGTGTTTCTCTCAAGGAACCCAAAGGGATAGCATTACTGATTACTCGAGCTTCTGTCTATGTTGTCGTGAAAAACTGAAGAACGACTACTTACAAAAGGAGGATGGAAAACGGACTGGGCCTCGAGAGTACATGCAAGACCAGACCCTTGAGGCACCATATAATGTAGGAACCTGAATGGGGTTCTCTATATGAACCCTAATATTATGGGGTTAAGTAGGGCCAGGGTTTCTTAATCGGGCTCCTACATTATACAACTATGATGGAATTAGGCTCCCCAAAGCATAATAAGGATGGTCTTTTGGGGCCGAATTCCATAATGGTAGTCTAGATGGAGCCTCTGGGGACAAGAGGGACTACTGGATTCATCCCCCCGACGCCCCAACCAACCCCAAACCCTAAACCCTAATTTAAATCCTAAACCCCAAACCCCAAACTCTAAACCCTAAACCCCCTACCCTAACCCTACACCCTAAACCCCAAGATCTTCCATGGTATTGACTTCCTGAACCCCAAATCCCTAAAAACGCAGGTTCTTTGGGGTCCAGGTTGGTATAAAACCCAACACCCGATACCAGCTGCTATTGAAAACCCTTCTTTGTCATGACACTTAGTACTTAGTATGTAATTATTTCTGGAGAGTTCTTATCTACGTAGTCATAAGTATCTTAAGCTCCTTAAGTAGGCACCCGTCTAGGGTACAGATCGATAAACCTCTACGTTTTACCTAATAAATAAGTCCCCTAAACCCTAAACCCTAAACCCCTAAACCCTAAACCCTAAACCCTAAACCCGACCCCCACGTGAACCAAAAGGTCCTACTTTTCCACGCTGCAAGCGCAGACTTCCAGGCGGTCTCCGCAGCTAAAACCGGGGCCTTAAAGTGAGAACGGGGAGGGTTTAGGGTTTAGGGTTTAGGGTTTAGGGTTTAGGGTTTAGGGTTTAGGGTTTAGGGTTCCTCTAACCTAGGGGCTCCAAATAAACTACCATTACGGAATTTTGTCCCAAAAGACCATCCTTATTATGGTTTTCAGGGCCTGATCCCATAATAGTAGTAATATGGTTCCTCTAAGGTTCCTACAAGGGTGCCTGTAAGGGTTTATTTGTCCGTTGCAGGCGTAGCAACTATAGACAGCTTAGGGTTTAGGGTTTAAGGTTTCAGGTTTAGGGTTTAGGGATAGACAGCTTAGGGTTTAGGGTTTAGGGTTTACTATGCCATAATGAGATATTCCGGCTCCCACTGTACGCCAAGGCCGCAGAGCGCAGGGATTCAAAAGTTCAGGGGTGGCCCCCCAGCAACTACCCTTAGGCCCCATAGTAGTTCCTTTTTGTGGCTTCTATTTAGGATCCTATTAGGTAATCCCAAAAAGGAACTACTAAGGGGCCTATGGGTACTCGATAGATCCGGGGACTTAGCAGCTAAAAGCAGTCGGGTCGGGTTCCAAGTACGAAGTACCCAAAATGGGGTGTCTCTGAAGTACCACCTTGCACTTCGCCAGTCTACCAAGTCCCCCGAGCGCCTGTTCCCCATGAAAGGTAAGGCCCTAAACCTTAAACCCTGAGGCCCTAAACCCTAAACCCCATAAACCCTAAGGCCCTAAACCCTAAACCCTAAGGCCCCAAACACTAAACCCCATGTACCCTAAGGCCCGAAACCCTAAACCCTAAACCGGGCCCTAAGGGCAGGAACCTTTTATCTCCAAACCCAAGGGTCCAACGAAACGGTGCAGAACAGCCCAAGAGACTTCTGTAGCTTACAGTCTTTGGGCACGGCAGCCTTGGAAAGGGAGTCGAGACCCTTTTAAACGCCTTAACCTTAAACCCTAAACCCTACGCCCTAGGCTCTATAGGACTTTGGGTTGAAATGCTTGGAAAAAAGGTGTCCTTTGAACCTGAATTGGGGTTTACGGTTTAGGCTGTAGGGCATGTTGAAACTATGACTCCTTGAGCGGACTCCGCTTCCCGCCAAGCACGTAGGCTGTGGCTAGCGTGAGGTGCCATATGCCACTGGAGAGGTTGTAAATGCTGACCAGCATGTACATTCCTGGGTTTAGGGTTTTAGGGTTTAGGGTTTAGGGTTTAGGGTTGCTGACCAGCATGTACATTCCTGGGTGCTTCTTCGGGAACACAACTCAAGACACTATGATGCAGGAGGAAGCCATTGTATTTGCTATCTTGTTGTATATATTCATTCCTACACATACAAACCTACTTCGGCACACACAGGGAGAAAGATGTACATGTGATCTATATATATATATATGTATGTATGTATGTATATATAAATAAATACATCTAATATATTATACACACATATAAGTATGAATATATTAACATGTTATGTATGCTTTATGCATGTATGCATGTGTGTGCATCTACATATATATATATATACACATACATACATACATATATACATATTACTGAAGGCACCTCAACAAAAAAACTAACAAGGACCCAGATTCGGATATTCAAGGCCATGTGTGGAGCAACCGCGGCGACGAGGAGCTGCAGGGGGCCCGGCGTGAGGAGCGCGGTCCAGCGCGGAAGCTCCGTCGCACCGGCTGCTAGCAGGACGAAGGTGAAGATGCAGCCTCCAGGGTTTAGGGTTTAGGGTTTTAGGGTGTAAAGTTTAGGGTTTGAGGTTCTACCTACAACCATAAGAATGCACAAGTTATGGATTCTGTACATCTTGCCTGGAAGCATGGCAATCTCCCCCACAAGGCGGCAAATAATCTCAAAGAACGGCTGGAAGTCTGCAGAGAGGCCCGCTGGTACAACATGTCCCCGTGCAGAGGCACTTGCAAGGAGGCCCACAAAAGTAAAGGAGCAATGCATCAAGGCACCTGCCACATAGAATGCGAAGAGCAACAGAACCAAAGGCCAGCGAAGCCATCTGTACTGAGGCTTCACGACCGTGTAAAGTAAGCAGGTACCTGCAAAGCCACATGGGATAAAGATCAGCGCCAACACGTGTCCTGCGGCAAGCTCCCAAATCGTCTTTTCCGCCATCATGACAGAAGCCTTGCGAAAATCGAGAATGTCGCCAGGTGTGTGGAAGAGCTGTTCCAACTCTGGCCGAGCACTGTAGCATGTCAAGACGTCTGCAACATGTGCAAGAATGCCAGCGCAACCTGCAAAATAACTTGCTGCAAGCACCACATCCAATCCCATGGCTGCGAGTCTAAATTGTAGCCGTGTTTGTTTGTTGGTCTCCCTGCCATCTCAAGCAAGCTTCAAACCTCAAAGGCAACAATAAATCATGCGCCGTTCATGAGAGCCGTGGCGGGTTTGGGGTATACCTAAACGTCACAGTTTAGGGTTCATGGTTAAGGGTTCAAAGTATAGGTTTGCAACACACACCTTAATTATTATTTCTTGTTTTTGTGATTCACTTCTATTATAAGCCCTCAGAATGCCGATTTTGGGAGAGGGGTGTCTTCAGGCTGTGGCTTAAGCTAGGGCGATGAAAGTCATTCGACCTCTGCATGATCCTATGATGACCCTAAACCCTAGACCCAAAACCCTGAACGATCCTATGATGCCTTGTTCTCGGGCCCCTAAACCCTAAACCCCTAAACCCTATAAACCCTAAATTACTAAACCCAAAACCCTAAACCCTAAACCCCTAAACCCTAAACCCCTAAACCCTAAACCATCCTATGATGCCTTCAGCCTTCTTCTTGGGTCTGACTTGGCTTGAAGACCTAGGCGGCAGTCCGGACCCAGACCTAAACCCGCCGCTCTGAAGCTGCGACCTGAATTGCTGTACCCTGGGTTCGGATCACCTGTCTTATATTCCTTGTGGTGCAGACTCTCTAGGGTTTAGGGTTTAGGGTTCAGGGTTTAGGGGTTTAGGGTTTAGAATTGGGTTCAGGGTTCATCATTAGGTGCACGCCAGGCTACGTCTGAATGCCAGGCACGGTAGCGCCTGCAGGGCGATGCGAGACACGAATTCGAATAGGGCTTCTTACTGTTTCGTGGCGCGCATCTTCGAAGCAGGGCTGGAAACAATAGACCCCAAGCCCAAAAGCTTCAAACTCCTGCACACTCTGGGTTTTTAGGAGTGGATCCGAGCTTGACCCTGCCAAGAGTGCAAAACTTCGGGTATAGGTGCCATACGCCTTAGGGTTTCTAAACCCTAAACCCTAAACCGTGCATACGCTTCAGGGTTTCTGGCTTCGGGTTTACGGTTGAGGGCTTCGGGCTTTAAGGTGTCGATGGCTTCTTCTTGATTCAGAAAGTGAGACCTGGATCTTGGCAGCATTTTCGCTGTAATAAGACAGGGTTCAGGGTTCGGGGTTTAGGGTTTAGGGGTTTAGGGGTTTAGGGGTTCAGGGTTTAGGTTTTAGGGCTCTGCGCCTCCCATATAGGATCAGCAACCTACTTACTTACATCATATAAGCACGCAAAATACAAGGATTACTCGTTGTTCAGACGCCCATAGTAGCTAATCCAGACAAAACCATAAAACGATCCATCGCGCAAGCTCTGAGCTCTAGAGGGGAACAGCATTGCATTTATCTAAGGTTTTAGAGTTTATGTAGGGTAAAAGAACGCCGGTTTGAGAGGTGCAGGGTTCAAGTTCCGGACGTTCTGGTTCCCGCCAGATGGTGCAGCCATGCGCTATATAAGACTCCAGGTTTCAAACGGTTAACGTCTACACTGGAGTCTACAGTCTACAAATAGTACCTACATATACATATATAGAGTTTGGATCATATAGAAGTTTGGGGGATGTTGAATCACACAGGGGCTTGAGGATCACGAACACTGCAGACGCACTCGCATGCAATTCGTGGGACGCAAAAATCCCGCTAGGGGATGGGTTTAGGGTTTAGGGTTTAGGGTTTAGGGTTTAGGGTCTAAAGGTTTGGGGTTTTGGGGTTTAGGGGTTTAGGGTTTAGGCGGTTTAGGGTTTAAGGGTTTAGGGTTTTGGGTTTAAGGGTTTAGGATTTAGGGCTTAAGGGTTTGGGGTTCAGGGTTTCGGGTTTAAGGGTTTAGGGTTTAGGCTTCCCTCAGCGGGCATGGCCTCACTGTCGTCTCGATCAGAGGCGAAGACTCCACCACCTGATCTTATCGCTGTCCGGTGAGTTACCACCTCAACCTATAGTAGAAGCCCAAAAGTTGGGAGTTGGGGGTTTAGGGTTTAGGATCTAGGGTTTAGGGTTTCGGGGCTTAGGGTTTCAGGATTTAGGGTCTAGGGTTTATAGTAGAAGCCCAAAAGTTGGAAACCCAATAGCCTCTATCCTTGGGAGCAATGTATAGGGAATCCCAGCACTAACTGTCCGTAGTCCGGTTTCCAACTTTTCGGGGTTTACTATAAAGAAGCCTAAACAGATGTGCCGATATGGGCTATAGCATTTGGCAAAACCTAAACCCTCAAACACAAACCTCTGACGTGTGCAGGACAGACATTGTTCACACCTGACAATACAATTCAGAAGACCTAGGAAGTCAGGGGGAGTTTTAGCTATCCTTATCGGGACTTCACCGCAAGGACTGCTACCGAACACAATTGCGAGATATACTGTAGATAAGCCTGCTTATGACCACGCTACTACGTCGTTTGATGCTTGAGTTTTGGAATAGATGGGTTCGAGTGTTCAGCGGGAGTGTCCGGATATAGGTGTCGACCCCACAAAATAAGATCCCTGATACGAACATCCGGATGTATCCCCCCATCTTAAGAACGTTTGAGAACGTTTATGGGAACCCCCAGCGAATCCTTCCCACCCCTTACGAAACTCTTCTGGATCCTAAACCCTCCACCCTGACATTAAGACTGAACTTCTGAACTGTTATATGGAAGCCTCTTCGGAGCGCCATTAGCCGAAGCACGTACTATGCGGCAAGCAAGCGGACTTTAAGGGGAAGGAACACAGAGGATGTAAATCTGCGGCCCTATAGACCCCATAGAACTGCATTTAAAGAAATCACGTTTGGAGGGAGCAGAGTGGCAAGGTCCGCCAACTCTGCCAACGTTCGGCAGGGGTCGAAGCCTGAGAGGGCATTCGGGCTCACAGGGACACTTCGGGGATTAGGAACTTCGGGTTTGAATGTCGCAGTGTAGGTTTGGGTCCAGGGTTGGGGGATCATGGAAAATCAGCATTTTCTCGAAACAACCTCACTGTTCTTGGTCATCTAGTTACCCACCCTAAACCCTAAACCCTAAACTCTCAACCCTCAAACCCTAAACCCTAACGTACGATTTTTGAATTTAAGCCGCAAGCTTTCAAGATCCCCTATAAACCCTACCGCAAGTAGGAGTCCTACCTCATGCGCTCCTGCTCTTCTTCAGCTAAGAACCGTGGGCTCCTGTAAACTGCGGGTTTAGGGCTCAGAGTTTAGGGCTTAGGGTTTAGGATGTGGGGTTTAGGATCTAGGGTTTAGGGTTTAAGGGTTTAGGGTTTAGGGCTTAAGGGTTTATTCCGCAGCGTCTAGGGTTCAGGGTTTAGGGTCTAGGGTTTAAGGTATACTGAGTATTGAGGATCCTACTTTTGGGCGTCTGAAGATCGGGGTTCCCTCTTTCATGAATGAGAGATACTAACAAAGCCTAAACCCCATAAACCCGTATAAGCCCTATAAATCCGAAACCCTATAAACCCTAAACCCTATAAACACTATACGCCCCAAACCGGCAAAACCCCATAAACCCTATAAGCCCTACAAACCCTGAACCCTACACACACGAAAAACCCTCAACCCCTAAACCCCATAAGCCCTATAAGCCCTATAAACCCTAAACCCTATAAGCCATGTACACCCTAAACCCTATAAACCCTAAACCCTACAATCACGAAAAAAAACCTCAACCCCTAAACCCCTCAAGCCGTATAAGCCCTATAGATCCTAAAGCCTTCAGAAGCCGAGCATCTCTTGAGGTTGAACTGGGTCTTGAAGTTGGCATTGCACCAGTCGCGCAGAGTCAGGCGCGTCACGCCCTTCTCCTGGTTTAGGGTTCCTGCTGGTTTAGGGATTGGGGTTTAGGGTTCCTTCTCCTGGTTTAGGGATTAGGGATCCTTCTCCTGGTCGAGGGATTAGGGTTTGGGGTTCCTTCTCCTGGTTTAGGGATTAGGGTTCCCTCTCCTGGTCCAGGGATTAGGGTTTGGGGTTCCTTCTCCTGGTTTAGGGCTTAGAGTTTATATGGGGGTTTCCGAAATAGGGGACCCTAATATAGTACCCTAAATAATAGGATCCCTATATATTATAAGGACCCCCAAAATAAGGTACCCCTTATTTGGGAAACTCCCATAGGGTTTCGGTCACGCCCTCCTCCTGAGTGGAGCTGACTCTTCGAAACGCCTGTGCTATAAACCCGGTGAGGCCTTGAGCTTCAACCCTAAAAGCATTCTTAACATAGGGGCCTCAATAAGTAGAATAGGATAACCCTAAAGCATTCTTAAAATAGGGGCCTCAATAAGTAGAATAGGGTTTAGGGTTTAGGGTTTAGGGTCTAGGGTCTAGGGTCTAGGGTCTAGGGTTTAGGGTTTAGGGTTTAGGGTTTAGGGCATTCTTAATATAGGGGCCTCAATAATTAGAAGAGGGTTTGAAACGTTGAGGATGGTGTAGCCTGTCTACGAGAGTAAGTCTCTTGTGTTGCGTCGCTTTCTTGTTGGTTCGGGGGATTAGGGTTTAGGGTTCAGGGTTCAGGGTTTAGGGTTTAGGGTTTAGGGTTTAGGGTTTAGGACGTTCTGGCGCTTCTCGCGATAGGGTCTAGTCAATGAAGTCCGGTCAACTTACCAAAAGCTATTACCCAAAATCCCTCAATCGGATCTGGTCCAACAGATGCAAAAGTAGAGGTTATGTAACACTTGCCTCCAACGTTTTCACAGTCGACCCCTGTTCTTAAAATAGGTTTAGGGTTACTTATAACAGGGATCCTACTAGCGAGGGCCTTTGTTCGGGCCGTGCTCTAATCCCAATGCCCTTTGCCCTCAACCCTTAAACCACGAAGATGTCGCCCTGCAAATCTCAGACCTGCATTCAAGGCGCAACAATGCTCCCAAACCGAACGGCGAGTATGGTCGGCGCCCCCGACGACTCCATGCTGCTAGAACTAGCCCCTGAGACGTTAGGTTCAAGGCCAGATTCAGAAGAACCCTGAACCCGAAAGGTTGCCAAGCTTCCTCCAAAGCCTTGCACAGCTCATCACCGTTGAAGACGATGTTTTTGCCTGGACAATAGCAAGGCCGTCCTTTTGCGAAGATAAGACAGGGTCTTCAATAGAATAGGACTTTGGGGTATACCTTAATGGCTTGGGCATGGTGTTTTAATTCCTTCGGGCCCATACACCCGGGACGCAGGGCGCTGTGGTAGGCGCCCTTTACCCTAGTGCTTTAATTCTGACGAGATGCCCTAATATACATGTATATAGGGACCCTGCAAACAAGGTAGGTTCAAAGTCGGTATTCCAAGGTAGTCCCTCGACCTTAGCCGATCGGGCGGGTCTTTATTTGCTCTGGTGAGCATAAGAGTTTAGGGTTTAGTGCTGTAGGAGCTTCCAGCGAAACAAATGGTAGGTTCGTAAAGTCCCCGTAGACCCTAAACCCTAAACCCTACACCCTAGACCCTAAAACCTAAACCCTAAACCCTGAACCCGGAGACTCCAAAACCCCTGCACTGGGGTTTACCTTTGGGTTCAGGGCTAGATGGCTCAGGGTTTAGGATTTAAGTTTCTTACGGGGTTCAAGAGTAACAGGATTTTGGGGTTAGGGTTTGAAGAGGTTTGTGGCTGGATCTTGCATTGCAGTGCTTTTCTGTCGATAAACCCTAAACCCTAAACCCTAAACCCTAAACCCTAAACCACTTGACCGCCAGGATCCTTCAACAAGACAACCATGCAAGCAAGATGTATGCTACTACTCTGCTCCAACCCCCTGTTTGTCCTACACCTAAGGTTCGAAATCACTAAAAAGGTCATATACCGATATATGCCCACCAAATAAATAGAAATAACCTAGAACGCTACTATCCTAAGCTCAGGTACCGGATGATTGATTGCTGTGGACCGTCAGACCATCGCCATAAATTGCCATAAAACCGTATAAACCCTCCCAGATAGTTACAGCAGCCCTATTTGTTGGATCTAAACCAAATCCACCTAAGACCGAACAGCTCTGATTCATGAACCCCAGCCTAGGTTTAGGGTTCAGGGAGCCCAACTCCAAACGTTAGGGTTGAGGGAGCTCGCTCGACACTCTGATCCAAAGGCATCCAAGCTGCTCGTTATGGAGCAGCTGAGCTTGCTGAGCTCTTTCCTTGCAAAACGGTATACGAATTTCCGAGAACTCTGTGCTGCCGAATTGAAAGGGTTTAGGGTTTAGGGTTTAGGGCCTGTAGCCCAAAAACCCTGGCTTTTCATGGACATCTACACACAACGTCATAGCAAGCAACCATCCTTCTTCGCGGTTCAAGGGAGAGACCAGTAAGTAGGTTTGAAGAACCTAGATGCGAGTATCTCAAACAGAGTAGGGGCCGTAATGATTGATTAAAGTGCTGTTGAGATAACTAGTGTGGTTCTGGCAAGGAACCCGAAGGGACAATATTGGTAGTTTCTCAGGCCTTGAAATATCACAGTTGTAACTTATGGCTTCTGATTTATGGCCTACTTTTGATGTCCACCCTGCAAGGGCAAGAACACAGCCGCGGTTCAATGCACACGGAGGTCTGGAACAGTCTGAGCAGGTTGACTTCCATTTGTCCCTCAGTAAACCCGGATTGGAGCGCTTGAAATCAACGAAGGTACCCTAAACCCTAAACCCTAAACCCTAAAAGCGATTTTCCGGAGCCGTTTATATCTAAGCCAGAAACACTGGCTGGCTGCCAAGCCGCAGGAAGTCTTCCCGGTGCTGTCGCTTCCGCTGACCCATGGAGCTTCCTTGGCTTCCGTGTCGTTTTGAGGCTCTACGGAAGAAGAGTGTTTGGTTTAGTGTGTTTGAGCTTTAAAGGTTTAAGTCATCAAGCCATGGGATTTAATATTTAGGGTCTGTTGTGCTCAAGGTTAGAGGGCACGTGTTCTGGCTAGAGTCCTGGCTGCCCTCAAGCCGTCGAGGATGCTTGGTAGGTCACAAGTTGTTTTCAGTACAGTAACCTCACTACACGTTTGCTGATGGATGCCAAAACACTCCGGAAAGTCCTTACTACATATTGAAGTCGCGAGGTACCGAATATATAGCAGTTATCGACACTTCAAGTCGTTGCAACCGCAAATTACCAAACCCTAAACCCCTAAAACCCTTAACCCTAAACCCTATAGACCCTAAACCCTAAACCAGCCTTATAAGAGCCCTTAAACCCAGAGACCTCGACATGAGCCTGCCCGAAAGCTCTGCGGAGCTCCGACGGCCGTAGGGCTTCACATGTCTTTGGCAAGATGCCATGCAGAACTCTAAACCGTTAAAGCCTAAACCTTAAACCCATGCAGAACCCTAAACCCTTAAAGCCTAAACCCTAAACCCATGCAGAACCCTAAACCCTTAAAGCCTGAACCCTAAACCCATGCAGAACCCTATACCCTTAAAGCCTAAACCCTACCCCTAAACCCATGCAGAACCCTAAACCATTAAACCCGCAAAGCCTACTCTAGGGACTGTCATGTAGAGTTCAGGGTATCAGGTTTGGAGATTCCGTGCCGTCGCTGGGGACTTGCAAAACTAAGACTTAAGCGTGGTTGTTCAAAAAAGATACAAAGACCTACCAGCCGCAGCCTCTCCGCAGTACTAGACGAGAACTCCTAGTGATCCATAGGGCCATTGGGTTATTTTGATGGGGCTTAATTACCTTGGCTCCCCTGAAACCTCTCTTCCCAGACCCTGCTTGGAAGATCCTGGGACTTAGCAAGCAAGGTTAAGAAGTAACATAAGTAAAGTTCTAAGTAATACAGCCTCAGAAGGTGGGTAGATGTACAGAGGCGTAGGGATATGGTGACCCTCAAAGTTCTAAGTAATTATAACTTTACTTACCTTATTGATAACCCCAGCTACTAAATCCGATCATCCTTCACCCTATAAACCCTAAATCCTAAACCCTAAACCCCTAAACCCCTAAACCCTAAACCCCTAAACCCCTAGACACCTAGACACCCAAACCCCAAACCCCTAAACCCCTAAACCCTAAACCCCCAAACCCTTAACCCTGAACCCTAAACCCCTAAACCCCTAAACCCTGAACCCTAAACCATGACCCTTCAAGTGTGAAGGATTCAACAGTTGAAACCGCCAAAGAGGATCCTGCCACAGCAAGCAAGATAAGGCGATAGTATAGGTTCCTTAATGATTAGAATGTGATTAGAATAGGGTTTTGGGGCCCATTATACTATTCGTATCATAGGAAACCCCAGAATAGTATAGGCAATGATTACGGCCCCTACAGTATTTTGGAACTTCTGTTCTCTAGATACTTTAGAGGAATCCCCACCAAGGTGCCAATGTAGAACGTGAAAGCGATGATGAAAGCGAAGATCACCTCAGCATTGTTCAAAATGTTCAAAGATTTGGCGGGTCTCGTACGAGTTTAGGGTTCCGGGGAGTAAAAGTATTAATTCGCGCGGAAAAGTTTTGCGAAATTCCCCTGACCGCTAAACCCTAAACCCTAAACATGTGCTCCTCATCTTTCTGTTTCGATAGAAGACATAATCCAAACACCCAGCAGACCTGCAAAGTTAGCTAGAGCCTTGAATCATAAATAAATATATATATATATATATGTATAGATAGATAGATCCCTTAAAGGAACTCTTAAAGAGCCCGTAAAGTGAGGTCTCTCGGGGTATATTATACTACGATTATAGTACGGACGCCCCCAAAAAAAGATTGTAAGTAATTAGTAAAGCCCGTATATTGATCTCGAGCTACTGACACCCTAAACCCTAAACCCTGAACCCTAAACCTTAAACCCTAAACCCTAAACTGTTACTGGGTCGGTCATTGTCGTGTGTCCCAGGCTTGCCGAGTGTATGGTTTCGAAGGGACCCGAGAGGCCGAGTTTAGGCTTTAGGGTTTCGGACTTTGGGTTTAGGGTTTAGGACTTTGGGCTTAGGGTTTAGGACTTCGGGTTTGGGTGTTAGACTTTAGGGTTTAGGACTTCGGGTTGAGGTGTTAGGGCTTGGGATTTGACAAATTCAGGGTTTGTGCACGGTTTACTGCCTTCGGCTCAGCTTCAGCACGTAGTCGAGGGTTCGGCATGTCGGGTTTAGGGTCCTACAGTTGATAACAAAAATCCTGCATTACCCATAATTAGGAATATACCGTAATTCCCATAGTTCAGGGTCCTTAGGGTAATGCCGGATTTATATCATCAACCGTAGTGTTTGTTTGTTTCGGCCACCCACTGCCATAAGCCAGGCAAACAGAATGTGACATACCCGAGAACCTGCACCTGCAATGCTCACACCCATGCCGCTTAGGGTTTAGGGCTTTTAGGGTTTAGGGTTTAGGGCAATCATCTAAACGCCGTAACAGCCGTAAGAGGCAATCTCCTCGACCTTTTCCTCCTCCTCCTCCTCCTTTTTACTGCTCTTCCATTCACTTCTGCCTTGAAGGCTGGGACGTCTTGTGTTCTGATTTATGCTGGTACTCCTGACGGTTGACGACAACAACTTTAACTTCAACTCGTCCTGCTCCTCCTCTGCTTCTTCTTCCTATTCCTGCGAACCCTAAACCCTAAACCCTAAACCCAAACCCTATAAGCGATCCCTAAACCCTAAACCCTAAACCGTTTCCGATAGCACGACTCCCTCTCTCTCTCTCTGCCGAAGAAAGAAGGCCGTAAGTGCCGTCCGGCTAGCACTGGTGGGAACTATCAAAGTGAGAACCAGCAGCGCTGCCAGTAGCACGACCTCGGCACACGCTTGGTGCTTGCGGGATCTTTCAGTCTATGGCCGAGATTGATACAACATGATGCATCTAATAGGGGCTTCAAGAAGTAAAGAGCGGGTTTGAGGCACATTTTACGACATTTTTAGAAAGGAACACTAAGGCATCAATAAATCTATTGTTCAATTAAGGCCACTTTAGCCTTTAGCCGTCGTGTATTACGGAAATCCTACAACAAGGCATCAAACAGTACATGTATGAACAAGCCCGGGGCTACTTCAGGATAATGCACTTTCGAAGCGCCTCCCAATCGGGATTGCAAATCACGAGATTGGAGGAGAACTCCAAAGTAGAAAGCCCCGGCCTAAATTGCAACATCCACGCATCCTTGCGTAAGCACTGCCCCAAGTCTTCTCTCCTTCCAGAAGTCCTGAGCTTCCCTAAGCCTCCACCTGCAACCCTAAACCCTAAACCCTAAACCCGAACTCCCAAGCAGACAGGCTCAGAGCCATGGCTTTCCGCGTCTAGGTGTCCGCATCGTGTTCTAGCCCTACCTTAAGAACCCCAAACCCACTTTTTTGTAGGTTCTTATTATAAACCCTAATATGGGATGTATAGGGACCCACAAAAAAGCAGGTTTTGGGTTCTTAAGGTATCTCTGCCATCAAAGCCTTGCGGACCCCCAGGTGCCATTCAAGACGTTGAAGCCTCTGGGTAGTTCTCTAAATTAGGGTGCCTTTTGAAGTCCCCAATATAGTACAGCACCCTTACATAAAGGACCCTCCAAAAGGGCCCCTAGTTTAGAGAACTACCCCTAAACCCTAAACCCTAAACCCCTGTGAGGAAGAGGCTTGCCTGCGCTTCACCGCCAGAGCCGCGGGCAGCAGCAACAGGCAGCGTTGGGTTCAGGCAATTCGGCCGGTTTAGGGATTTAGGGTTTTATAGTTTAGGGTTTCGCGTTTGAGAGTTTAGGGTTTAGGGTTTTATAGTTTTATAGTTTAGGAGTTTAGGGTCTTATAGTTTAGGGTTTCGGGTCTTTTAGTTAAGGGTTTAGGGTCTTATAGTTTAGGGTTTAGGGTTTTATAGTTTAGGGTTGGGTCTAGGGTTTTATGGTTTGGGGTTTAGGGTTCAGGCCATTCGGCCGGCAGATCAGCTGCGACGGGTGAGCGGCTGACCCAAAAATCGGACAAGGGAAAAAACTCTGCCGCCAAGTGCCCGAAGGCTCCGAAGTACTTACATGGTATAAAGTAAGGTTTCCGTAGCAGGAATTCTTATTGCGATCTGGGTACGTAAGCATTCCCCATGCCTTTTGGGGAGAAGCTGGTGGCCGAAGCAAATCCAGCACTTGGGACACAGCACCCCCAACCCGAGCGCCCAGGGTTGCAAGTGTGGGGTCTATAGGGTTTAGGGGTTAGGGGTTTAGGGTTTAGGGGCTTGCAAACTTTCCTCGGCTTTTCAGACGGCTTGCAAAACGGAAGTTTTGAGCTGTCCTTCACGGAAGGTGTTCCTCAACCCTGGACCCTAAACAGTAGGTGGATCCCATCCCAAATGCCGAGGCTTTGGGTTCTAGGATTCTCGGAACTTCTCAACCCTAAACCCTAAACCCTAAAACCCTAAACCCCGATCCCTTAAAGGAACCCCTCAAAGGAACCTTTAAAGGAACCCTATAAAGGATCCCTTAAAGGAGCCCTTAAAGTGCTATATCCCTTAAGACCGGGAGTCCTCAGGTGCCGGGGGCCCCTGAAGTCTACTGCCCTCCCGAAGGCAAGCACAAAACACACCAGAAACCACAAACAAAGCAAGGTTTTATGGCTTCAGGGGTTTAGGGGTTAAGGTTTAGGGTTAGAGGTTTAGGGGTTTAGGGTTCAGGGTTGAACAACCAGAAGCACTCATGAACATATGTTGAAGGCCCTACAGCCCAAACCCTAGAATCGGCATTGACTAAGAACCCTCAACCCTAAACCCCAAACCCTCTAAACTCCTAAACACCAAAAGGAGGGTGCACTTAAGATGGCCACGCACAGCGGACGATGGCGTAGGACGGCCCTAACTCAGACACCCCGAACAACCCTTGCTAATCGAGGGATAGAAATGAACATGACAAGTCGTGACTTCGGATCTATATATATATATATAGATGCATTGTGGTGGGCTTCTTTACAGTGGTGCCAAAGTGTTGCTGCACCGCTTGGGTCCTTACAAGAGGATTGCGACGTGAGATAAACTGCACGTCTGGAGGCAATGATCGTCGAGATATCATGGTCTTTCCATGTGAAGAGGTTCCTGGGATCAGGGTTTGAGTGCCAGGGTCTTGGACGTTTCCCCTCAGCAGCAAGCAAGCGCTGCACCCCACGGCTTTTATTGAGGGTAGCAAACAAAACACCGCTATCATCTAATTTCCACAACATTAAAAACCCGCAAACCTCAAAGTTCCATTAGGGTCTGAACAACAAGCCCTAAACGTTGCAATGTAGACGCAAAGCATATGAACTTAATTAGGTCTCTTCTGCACACTTTAGCGGCTGTCAGATCTTCGGGTTGAAATCTACTTGCGTCTGCGGTTCAAGGGCTGAGGGTTCAAATCCTTCAGGGATTTGGCTTAAGGGTGCTAGGGGTTTTGGGTACAGGTGCATGTTTGGGGCGAGTTCCTGGTCCTTATGTAAGTCTTGAGTGTTAGGGATGTAAAGCAAAACATTTGGCAACAGCAACTTGGGCCATCAGGCAGCAACGCTTGCTGAGTTCAAGGCTCTCGAACCCTCAGCTCTGAAATCCTATCAGAACGGCCCAGACATTATGCTCTGCTTCTTCGACTTACCTGTTGAGCCTTAAGAGATGTTACAGGGTGTCGCCAGGGGTCAAGTACAGACTACATAATCGAACTCCCGCAATACTAGTCTACGCTACTCCGACCCCAAGCCAAGTACGTGATTTTGATTTGTTGGTTGTTGGGTCCTTTGCCCTAAACCCTAAACCCTAAACCCTAAACCCTAAACCCTAAACCCTAGACCGGGGGTCCGGGTCCAGGTAACTCCGAAAGCCTTGGCGGCGAACGCCCAGGGTATCCTATACTTCCCGAGCCCGAACCGGTCCTTTCAACCGTACCGTCTTGCTCTGATCCCTTCTGTTTAAGGCATCTGGGGGCTTAGTAAGTGGGTAACGCGCAGGCTTGCAAGTACGTCCTAGTTGGGATTCTGATACTTACAAACTTGATGAACAACTGCGTGTTAAGTCCCCCAGTAAGCGGAATCTGGAGAACCTCACAGCGAACAAAAAACCGAAGCCTTGAACGCTCAAGCCCTGGACAATCCTACCAGTAGTGTCTTGAAGACTGCAAAAACTGGATGTTGCTACGGATCCCTCTGTGTCTGTAATTATACAAGGGACCCAAACTTGATTTAGGGATGTTAAAACCCCGGAGCAACCCAAATGACACAGCCAGGAACCCCACCCTAAACTCCTAAACCCGGAACCCCTCCCCGAACCCTAAACCCTAAA